TGAGGAGTACAATATTTATGGAGTGGTCATTATTTTCTTTGGAGAATCAGGAAGTCTTCCCAGAGGAAGTGGCATCTGAGTTGGGTCCTGAAGCAGGAAGCATCAGATAGTGACATGGAAGAGATATACCTTATTCCCAACTACTAGTCTCTTCCTCTGCAGTAACCTTTCATCTACTCTATATGTGTGTTTTATGTACCTAGTTGTTTGTGTGCTATTTTTCCTTTAGACTGTGAACTCCTTGAGGGTAAGGACGGCTTTTGACTTTCTTTTTATCTCTAGCCCTTAGCACAGGACCTGACACATTGTAAGTGCTTAACAAATGCTTGTTAACTAACTAAACTAAACACAGCTAATCATTTTCTCCTTTAAAATAGATAACAGATTGGTGCTTAACCCAAGTTCCGTGGACCTCAAAAGAAAGGATACCTTGACAGATTTAAGGGAATCCATGAAAGTGGACAGGAAAAGTTTATATCTTTATTTCCACTAACTCATATCTGAAAAGAATTTCCTTCAATAATGAATTAAATAAATAAATAAAATTAAAAACAACCCAAAACAAACATTATTCTGAGTCCATGAGCTTTACCAAAATACCACAGGGTTCATGATATAATAGAATTATTTGTATCATTGATCATAGATCTATAATATATTTTACATTTAGAGCTAGAAAGAATCTTAGAAATCAAATAGTCCAGTCTGCTCATTTTAGAGACAAGGAAATAGAGGCCCATTTTATTCATGGGGTTTTCTCCTACGGAAGAATTTCATATTCATGAAACCTTTTCGATGAAATGGTACATCTTGGTATCAGTCTTTCAGAGCTACAAAAAGAAGGATGTGGGCTTTGAGCAGTGCCAGAGCCACCCGTGATAGCCACTGGTCTGGACTATCAGTTTTTCCCATTCTCTTCCTAAGTCAAACAGCTCCTCTCCCCTATCTTGATTTGGTGAGCTGATTCTAAATTACTGTATTCCTGCATTTGCTTTCTATTTATCGTTTCCACTTCCCATAGATACCAAAAGTATTTGTTTCAGACACTATTTCACTCACCCTCCAGTCACACCTGGTTACAACTCCTTGTGATGATCTGGTCTGATTTTTATTGTGAAGGCTTGTTTTAGGGTATAATTTATAATTGATCTTAGAACATGCCCTGAATGCAGTTACACAAGATCTAGGAACTCAGCATGAAGGGTCTGTGCCCTTTCCCCAGGTAAGAGTAGGGTGAACATCTCCTGTAAAGTTTATCCTATAAGACAATTTGGCATAGAAAACGAAAAGGAAAAGGAAGTCCTTTGAGTAATCCATTGTGTTGTTGCCTTAATTATGGACCATGAGAAGCAGAGTTTCATCCCATCTTGAAGAAATCTGCAAAGAGAATAGACTTCATAGATATTCTATGGTATAACAACTAATATCATCATCATCATTGCCTATTAAGTACTTACCATGTGCCAGGTACTGTGCTAAATGCTGGGCATACAAGCAAAGGCAAAATATGGTCCCTTCTCTAAAAGAGCTCACATTCTTATAAGGGAGACAACACGTAAACTACTATGTACATACAAGATTATACATACAAAATAAAACATATACACATGTATGTGTACACACACACAAACACACACACACACACATACACACACTTCCAGAAGGCCCTAGCAGTTTGGGAGGGAAGCAGGGAAGACTTCTCGGGTCTTTTGCTCCTCCAGATAAATTTTTTTTTGTAGTAGTTGGAAGCTTTATTTAACACAAATAAAAATGTGCAAAGTATTTCACTCATTTTCTTCACTCCTCAGTCTAGCATTTGGATTGGTAATGTTGATGGCTAGCTGAGCCACTCTCTCAACAATGACTTTCTGATTCCTGGAGGACACATTGTGAGCAATCTCGGCACAGCAAGATTTGTTGCACATCATAAGCACTTTGAGCTCTTTGACATTGTGTACCAAAAACTTCCTGAATCCACTTGGTAACGTGTTTTGTCTTCTTATTGCTTCCACAACCAACATTGGGCATCAAGATCTGGCCCTTGAATTGTCTTTGCACCCTGTTGTCAATGCCTCTTGGTTTGTGCCAGTTTCTCTTGATCTTGACGTATCTGTCGGACTGGTGCTAGATGAACTTCTTGGTCCTCTTCTTGACGATTTTAGGCTTTATGAGAGGACCGAAGGCAGGCATGGCACCAGCGGAGAGATAGTGGCCCCTCCATGGGAAGTGCCAACAGAAAGAGAGAGAGAGAGAGAGAGAGAGAGAGAGAGAGAGAGAGAGAGAGAGCGCGCTCCTCCAGATAAGTTTTAAGCTGAGTTTTGAAAGCAACCAGGATGCAGAGGTGAGGAGGTAGAACATTCTGGGCATGGAGGACAGGCATGGAAAAGGCATGAAGTTGGGAGATACGGTGTCATGTGGGAAGAATAGGAAGAAGATTAATGTTGCTAGATCATAGATTACTAGGAAGAAAGTAAAGAATAATAAGATTGGAAAGATTGGAAGAAATCTGATTATTAAGGACTTTAAAATAGCCAAACAGAGGATTATGTATCTTATCCTGAAGATAATAGAGAGTCACTGGAGTTTACTGAGCAAGGGGGCTTCACATGGACAGACCTATACTTTAGGAAGATCACTTTGACAGTTGAATGAAGGATAAACTGAAATAGGGAGGAAATAAAGGTAGGAAGACCAACCAGTAGGTTATTGAAATAGTTGAGACAGGAGGTGATGAGAGACAACCTACATCAGGGTGGTGTGTGTTCAAGTGAAGAGAAAGGGACATATAGAAGAAATGTTGTGAAGATACAAATGACAACATATGGTGAAAGATGGAAAATGATTTTTTCATTTGTAGTAGATTCACATTTGAAGTGATTAGGAATCATTTTGTAGAATGGAACTTCATTTTATTTTTCAAAAGGACCTCAGTAGTTTAGAAATATTACAGTATCTCTTTTGGCTATTTGTTATGGAAATATTTTGATTATTATCTATTTTCTGAAAAATCATGCTTTCAAATTTTTGTTGACCCAATCATCTACTTTGAATATTTAAATTCATTTTTTAAACAAAAATACCTCCTTTACTCATTTTTGCATTTCACAAAGAACTGGATTAGAAAATCTTTTAAATCAAGACACTTGAGTAGCTCCTCTTAACTATTAAAGATATGAACCACAAATACAGAAATTTATAGAGAAAGTGACATTGACTTCATTTAGGATGGTGCTATTCATTAGTTTGTCAAGTAATATTTTCATTCTCCACCAGAGGGAGCATTGAAGAGTAGAGCAAGAAAAAAATGCAAGTAAAATACACAGTTCTCATTCATATTCCCCTACCAGGTTCTGAAGCTTTATACACACACACACAAATAAGGTATCATCTTTCACTTGAACTATGAATACCTCTCCCTTCCATTGGCACAGATTATTTCTAAAATTATATTCAAACCTCAATCTAGAATTGTGGGAAAGAATAATTTTTAAATGACTAAAATCCATTTTAAAGTCATTTGTCCCATCACTTCGAAGTTAATCAAACTTTGTTGGAAGTTCAGTAATAACTCTTTAAGGTCCCATAATATTGTAAAATAATTTCTGCCACCAATTATACAGCAAAATAGATTAAAGTGAATTAATACTCTAGTGGAAATTGTTCTTTTTAAAAAATAGAGGAATATAACTACATAGGGTCACAAGTAGAGTTGCAATTAGGCTGGCTTGATTAGAACTTCGTTGTATGGTGTTGTTTGGTGACCTCTGATATCACTTGTGGTCTTTCTGCAGTGTAGAAAAAGTAGAGTTTAGTATCTGGTTAACAACAACAATTAGTTTAAATAGGAAGCTACCAGGTATGTCAGTCCAAGGGTATACTGGGACCAGCTTGAACTGTCTTATGAGAGCTGATTGTTAAGTTTTCAGTGTGAAGAAATTTATACCTCAGAAATAGGCACACAATTACCAGGGCTTGATTTATTGATTTGCTTATTCTTTAGACTTAAGAAACTGATGGAGAAAATGTTAATAATGCATATTAAACTAAAAAAAAGTATGTCATACATACTTCCCTCCTCCCAAGTGAGCTGGTTGTTAAACATTTATCACTGATGTCATCCTGGGGTGAACTCCTTCCCCATTCTGTATGTGCAAATGAATGTACTTTTTGCGCTACTTGCCCCATATGTTAAAATATCCTAGTTATAATAAAATATAAAATTTGCTAGGCTGAGTCATAAGCAAAAGAACTTTTATGCAGGTAGGTTATAAGAGTTAGACTATATCATTTAATGCCTGAATAAGTTTCTCTCTCTTTAAGGAACAAAGTGCAGGATTTGCAATTGCATGGTTAATTTGATCATTGTAGATAAGCAGCTACTTAGCCTTCCAACCATTCTGAAAAGGCTTTGGTATATTTGCATCAGTAGCATACCCTCCATTCATTGTTTGAGTGAGAACAGTAGAAGGATGGTGGTGGTACAACAATCTAGGATAAGCAACAGCAAAGATAAACAATGTGACCATTTACAGAGTCTGCAAGAATGGGCTATTTATTGTACCACCACACCTGTCAAATAGGCAACTCTGAATAGTATCTAAATAAGAAGAGTTCACTTTGAGTAAGCTGACAAAATAGAAAAAAAGATATTTTGATCATTTTAATGGCATTCTAAGTTAAAAATGATGGTTTCACAGAAGTTCATCAATATACTTAATTTAAACTGGCAAGTACACAAAAGAATTGTCATGGTTCTAATTTACAACAAGAAGTGAATTTAAATCATTTGAATATAGATTTCAAATATTCCTATGCAGACATAACTTTCTTTTTACTCTTTCAAGCTTGTATATAAGTGTTAAGACAATATATACCCATCACATTTTTCTGCAGTAAAAACCAGTGAGTTAAAATAGAAAGCTTATGAAATTTGATTATTACATGAAATGAACATTCTAAGAAACCTACTAGAATTTATACATTTCAATGACTATCTTTCCTTTAATCTGAATCATGTTGAGAGGCTGAATGATTTCAATGGTGCTTGAAAATTTTTGAGAAGACCTCTTTTAGAATTTTCTTAAGAGTCTATGGTACGTTCTTTTAAATATCTTCAATGATGGCAAATTCTCACCTTTTGGGCTCTTGAATACCAGAAACATTCATTTGGAATTAGTTCTGGTGAATGAGGTAGGTGATTAGGTTGGACAATACTCATTTTGATTAAAAATGGGTAGTGATTACAATCTAACGGGACTACTTTCTTGTATGGGTACATCAACTGTCTCTGAAGGCAATTCCAAAACAAGAGTTTCAAAAATGTTTCAAGTAATTGAAGCATCATAAGAATAAATGTACAGATTCTGAAGTGGACTACTTTGAAGGACAAAACTCATTCGCAAGTGCAAGTTTTGGTATTTCTCTTTTTATTGTTATGTAATAGTCAGAGTTCAAACATTTTAAAATAATAAAATACATTCAGTTACTAAGACTAATATTTTTTCTAGAAAGAATTTGGACATCTTTGGAATCTACTATTGCCTCATTAAAAAAAAGAAAATAATACACTCTAAGCTACTGAGTTGGGATAGTTCAAACAATAAACTCACTGATTATGGACACAGTTGGGGCTAAACAATGTATAGAATCGTATCATGGTTCCACATCAGAGAATTACCACAGAGACAATAATGTCCCCACCCCACTCAAAATGGAGATAATGATAAGAAAACTTGGACTTGGGCTATCCATCTCCGGGAAAAAAAATCACTAAAAATCCTGAAAATAATCCAGGAAAGACTGCAATATCTTTTGGACATTCATTAAAGCCCTACAGATGTTCTTTCCATTTGGAGGCCAGATGACCTTTTCTTTGTTCATAAATATTTCACACACAGTGAGTTTCTTTCTTCCCATGTTCTTCAAACAAGTGAAAAAACGGTTTTGTAATTATAGGCACAGACAGCAGTTTATTTCTTCTTGTGTTATGAAATTAACTTCTGTTTCTTCTTTAAAAATATCAGGTCTCTCTAGCAGCACCTTCATATCAGGGGAGTTTGATTAATTACTGCTGCCATCTGCTGGTTATTCATTTCAACTTTAGAAAAAGCAGTGGCTAAGGCTCCAGCCAATATGATGCAAAATGCAAGTGTTATTAATAGATAATTTTTAATACCCTGTGTGGCAAAAGAAATGAGAAAAAAACCATATTGGTACAACCTCCAAAAAGGAAGATTTCCTTTTATACAACTCAGTGTTAAAAATCTGGTTCAAAGATTTTGATTCTCAAGCCATACCATCTGTTAGGTGAATAAATTCTATCTTATCCTTCTACTTGACTGTAAAGTCCATGAGGGAAGTGATCCTGACTTAACAAAGTTAGTATCTGCCTTAGAAGTTAGCACAGAGCTTTGTACACAGTAGTTACTTAATAAGTTAGTGAGGCAGTGTGGTACAATATCAAGGGCACTGGTTTGGGAATCAAAGGCACTGAATTCAAATCTTACCTCTGGCATTTATTACCTGTGAAACTATGGTTAAATCAGTTACCCTCTCTGGGTCTTGGTTTCCTTATCTGTAATATAAAAGGCTTTGATTACTTGGCCTTTGAGGTTCCTTCTAATTCTATAACCCTGTGAAATGTTTTTTTAAACAATAGATTTATTCAACAGTCCCCTATGTGCAAAGATCAGGATTTTGGGAAGATACAAAATAATGAAGAGGTGTCCCTTTCCTCTTGCAACTTATGATCCATTGGAGATAGTGGGGAAAATGACACCTAAAGAAATGTGTAATACTATACAATAAATATACTATAATTATGCTGCAGAAAAATTTCAAGAAAAATATACTTGATGTACAAAGCTTTATACAAGTTTGGATTAAGGAAAGATCCTAACGGGGTCAGGGAAGGTTTCCTAGATGAGATGATCTGTGAGTTAGGCCTTTAAGGATAGAAAGGATTTCAAAAGGGAATGATGGGATGGATGGGGGAGATTTAAGGTACAAGGAATGATATGTGCAAACCTAAGCTGTACAGACGGAAAAGACTATGAATTGGTCCAGTTCGTTTGGGGGATAGAGCACACAGTGGGAACTAGCATGAGATAAATCTGGAAAGGGAGGGCAATGCCAGATCATAGAAAATCCTGAATGTGGGGCAGTATGGTATAGTGGATTGGCAAGTGACCATTGAGTCAGGAAGCCCTGAATTCAAATTCCACCTCAGATGCTTACTAGCTGTGTGATCCTGGGCAAGACCTTAAATTCTCTATGCCTCAGTTTCTTCTCTGTGCTTCAGTGGTCCCTAAAGTCCTTTCTAGGTCCAAAGCCATGATCCTCTGAATGCCAAGCTAATGAGTTTGAACGTTATCTGATGGCTAATAGAGAACTGATAAAGGATTTTTTTAATCAAAAAAGTGAAATAAGACCTTTGTATAAGAAAAATAGATTTAGGAAGTAGGTACTCAGGGCAGAGTAGCTCACCTCAATTTACCTCCAAAAGCTCCTAATGTCCCACAAATGGCTTTTTGGTAGCAAACTGCGATAGGCTGTTTCAGTATTTTGCTGTTGTCCATCTGTGCTCCTGAGGGTTTTTGCTACCTGAGCACTTAGTACTCCTTCCTACACAGGCAAGGTAACATGGGTTTGGAGCCATTACCACCACCAGTACTTTCGGACCAGAAGTCAATCTCCTCTAAACAACTTGATTAAAATGTTCTCTCCAAAAAACTAACAAACCAATTTATATCTGGTTTAAAAGTTGTCAAATGTAAGATTCCAAAGCAAACTTCTCAGAGTAAAATCAGACATAATATGCAGCAAAACTGTACTGAATAAATGAATTCATTTTCCAGGCACTAATGCCTACCATCAAACACACAAGAAAACCTATTCTGGTTTTTAATGCGTGTAGTTTGATCACATGTAGAAGGCTCTGTCTTTTTCAATAGAGTAGAGAATTAACCAAATCCTCCACTTCTTCAAAGTTTGCTTTGAAGAACACTACCACAAAATAGCTTGGAGCCCTAGGAGCGTTGAGACAGGTAATTTCTCCCATGAAGTCCGTAGCCACAGGTAAAGGCTAAGATCTGTGAGTGGTTTTGTGTTTGTGTCTAGGTTGGTGATTTTGTGAGTACAGGAAGCTCCTGATGTGGAGCCATTGAGGCTGAGCAATCACCAATCGGTAACTTCCAGCCTTTGAGGATTGCCTGGGGGGCATGGAGAGGGCATATGGAATATTTCTTGGCTGCCCAGCTAGTCTGTGTCAGAAGAAGGCCTCCAACCCTGGCCTTTCTGATGCCCAGGCACGTTCCCTTCACTAAGTCACACTGGCTCTCCCTAAATATGCTGCATTTGTTGACGACGACAGATCCCCTTTGAAGCCCTGTTAGAAGTGGGGGTTTCACTCTAGTGTCTGTGCAGCTGTGCTTAATCTGGTTGGCACGCAAGGTATCTGAAGTATTTCTTTCAGTCACCTTTCAAGAGGTTGTTAGGCACATTTGGATGTGCCTGGGAATCACCAGCAGCTTATTTATCAAGTGAGCGACTTTTAGGATTCTATGGGGCCCTGAGAGATCATTTTAGTATATTCCTCAGCTTTCAGGGAGACCTACCTTCAATTTTTTTTCTGAATAAGGATCGTGACTGGACTTGTGATTTCATTGGCATAGGGAACTCCCAGGTGAGGGAAGTCTCTCTCCTAATGCAGGTTAGTATCTTCTCTGCAACTCAAATACTTAAAGAGTTGCGTAGAACAGAGCAGAGGTGTCAAATGGGTAGCTTGAATTTGGAACAGATTAAAATGTAATTGGGAAACATTTACCAAAATAAATAAAATTATAATAGAATATACATTATGTTAATATGTAATTTTCTAGGTCACTATGTAGCCCTAGGGATCCTTTATGGTTTTTTGGCTCCCTTTTCTATTTGAGTTAGACACCATTGACGTAGAGCTCTGAAAAGTTAATTGTGTGTCAATGTGTGTCATATGTCATATGTGTGTCATAGAGTAGGATCTGAATTTAAGTCTTCCAGGCTTTGAGACCAGCTATCTATTGACTACACTACAGTGTCTCCCAATGTCTCCACGAAAATCTATCTTTTAAAAAAGAATTATAGGTAACCCATTTTGATGTTTTCCAATGCTCATTCAGAAATTTTTTCTTATAGCCAACCTAAATCCTATGTACTAAACATCGAGCAGAGTAGGTATCTCATTTTTCCTCTGGTATCTCTCCACAAATGATTTCAACTTTTTTAAGGCCCTTAGTATATAGGCAGGAGCTAGATTTCTGTGCACTGAGGACCCCTCATGAGGTTTAACTTTCAAGCAGTACCTGTTCTTAAGTGATATCTTTGGGTCCAGGTGCAGATATTTTAATTTTCTTCCTTTTGCTACTGTAATCACAACCAAAGTAATTTTGAAATGTCTCCTTTGCAATCCTTATTTCTTGGCTATACCTTTGTGGGTGTTGTTCTTAATATCTCACTTTCCCATGTCTTCCTAAGGCCTTTAACACCTTATCAAGGGCTGATACAATACATTTTATTTATTTATTTATTTTATTTTTTGCTAGGCTATGGGGATAGGTGACTTGCCCAGGGTCACACAGCTAGTAAGTGTCAAGTTTCTGAGGCTGGATTTGAACTCAAGTCTTCCTGACTCCAAGGCTGGTGCTCTATCCATTGTACCACCTAGCTGCCCCCTGGTACCATACACTTTAATAAGAAATTCACTATCAGGTAGATAGATCCTTTTCCGAGAGCTTTGCAATTGATGTGAGGTATGGATTTACTTTGTGAGTTAATTCATTCTAACAAAGAAATAAGAACCATGTGCAAGAAAGTAGTCCAGGTCGGAAATCCTATTAGCATATTTCTGTGTATTTAAAACGAAAATTGGATTGCCCTCCAAGTAGCTTTCTTAATAATAGCTTCTTTTGTTTGCTTAAACCCAAGAATCTTGCCCATATTAGTCAAGCATGACTTGTTAACGTTATTCCTTCTCATTTTGCAGGAATGAAATGATTTCTTAAAAAGCTTTGAAGTGATTTATCATGTTGAGGATCAGCCGGTTATACAAATTCACTTTATGGCTCCCAGAACAAAGAGACAGCATCAGTCCTTATTAAAACCAGGCCTGGCTTTGTATTACAGCTGCATATTAAGGAGGAGAATATCATGGCTATTGCTTTTTGGTACAACATTTTTGTATTTATGTTGTATTCTATAAACCTACTCTGAAATAGTGCACAGAGTATTTGAAAGGATTCCCCGCCCCCCCCCCCCCTTGATTACAGATTGGGGCACATAGCAAAGAGTTCCAAAATGGGCTCCATTTTCATTTCTGATGCTGCTATTGTAGGGTATGGGGATATGTCAACTTGAGAAGGACCTGAGATTTTGCCAGCCTGGGAAACTCCTTCCACCAACAATGTCCATAAGTTATGATCTTACAGAGAGCTGCCTGAGGCTCAGCAAGGTTGTGACTTTGCCTGTGTCACACAGCTTGGGGCAGAAGTGGGGTATGAACATGCCTCCCTGACTCATTCTACCTATTCTGCCACTCTGTTTTGTGGATAAAACAAGATTAAAAAAATAGCTTTTGGACCATTCTATTATCTGGTAGAAGAATTCCATCCCTTCCGGCCCCCTACCTAGGTCCTTCCAGGGATATTAGTCATCTACTACTATGACTTGACCTTTCCTATAATATTACAAAATTTAATCTACAGTATTGAAAAGGTTGTTCATGGGAGGCCTAAGCAAAAAGGTCTCAAACATATTATTTAATATTCTGTCATCAGCTTGCCCCATGGAATTTTCTTCTCTTGGGAGGCCAAAATATTCTTTTCCTCATCCTACCATAATATATAACACCCTTCTAAAGAATTTTTTCTTCCTTTTTTAAAAATAAGTGACATGTAGCCACTAAAAACACTTCAAAAGAATGGAAGCTCACCAGTGATTTTTTTCAACTTAAAAACAAAAGATTCACAACCACAAACTCCATTTGAATCTCCCTATTTACAGGGGGTGAGATTTTGAACATATAATTTGGAATGTCATCTCTCCTGACCATTCATTGCTCTATGTGAGAAAGCAATACTAAATTATAGCTCTAGTAATAATAAGAATAGCTCACATTTATATAGCACTTACTATGTGCATACACTATGCTAGGCACTTTACAATTATTGTCTCATCTGATCCTCACAGCAACCCTGGGAAGTAGATTCTGTTATTAGCCCCATTTTACAAATGAGGAAGCTGAGACAAACAGAAGTTAAGCGACTTGCCTAAGGTCACACAGCTAGTAAGTCTCTGAGGTTAAATTTGCATTAGAGTCTTTCTGACTCTAGGCCTGGTGCTCCATGCATGGCACTACCTAGCTGTCCATAATAGTTCCTCTCTTTGAATGGCCCCTTTCCTAGGGTTTAGTTTTTCTTCTACTTACCTTTATTTCCTTAAATACAAAGATACCCCACATTGCAGCTATAATTCCTGGACCCTGGAAGAATGATAAATAAACATGGACATTAGGTCATTTCTTAAGGCTAGGCTGGTAGATACAGAGCCAATTGAAGTGATGAATTAAATAGTTGGATAATGCAAATGAAAAAGGATTTCCCCTTCCAGATACTCAGATAATTGAAGGAAGTATCCATTCCTTTGTTTAAGTTGTCACTGAGACAAGTGACCCATTTTTGCATTTCACTTTGCAGGTACAATTTTAGGGTGCTTGGACAGCTGCTGAAATTGATCTATGGCATTGCTTCAATTCAATTCAATAAACATTTATTTGGGCATCTAGGTGGCACAGTAGATAGAGTGTTAGACCTGAGTCAGGAAGATTCATCTTCCTGAGTTCAAATCTGTCTTCAGACACTAACTGTGTGCCCCTGGGCAAGTCACTTACCCCTGTTTGCCTTAGTCCCTCATCTGTAAAATGAGTTGGAGAAATGTGCCAGGCACCGTGCTAAGTAATGACAGGTGAATGAGTTCAGATAAATTAGAGGTAGGTCCCAGTATGCTAGGAGAGAAAACCAGAGGTGAAAGTAGAGAAGGAAAAAATGAAGATAGCAAGGATAAAATGCAGTAAGACTACAGGACAAAGGATGAGATAAGACACAAAAAAGGGATGAGTCTGTGACACGAAAACTACCAAATAAAGATAAAGGGAGGTACCAACCATGTGATTTCACTGTCTAATAACGTATTCCCAGGTGAGGAAATCCTATCTTTGCAGGTCCGGGCTGGCACCTTTTCTGCAGGTTATTGTCCTAGAGAGTTGCTTGGAGGTACCAAGGAATGAAGTGACTTGCCCAGGATTGCTCAGAAGTGGAACTTAAATTCATATCTTCCCATAACCTTATAGGCCTGTAACCTGGCTAGAAGTTGAGTTTCTGAATGTTGTTTAAGTTGCTTTATTAATGCACACTGTAATTTCTCTTATGTTTATGATTATTTTGTATGTAGAAATAAAATGACCTGTTTTAAATCTGATTCATCATCATCAATCATCATCATAGCTGCAATTCCTATAGCACTTCAAAAATACCGTCTCATGTTAGCCTCACAACAACCTTGTAAGGTAAATGACATTATTATCTTCATTTTACTGATGAGGATAATTGGGACTGAAAAAGGTTAAATGACTTGCCCAGGATCACATAGCTACTGCCGGCGTTAAGATTTGATCTTAGGTTTTTCTGACTCCAAACTGGGGACTCTAGCCCTGGAAATGCTTTGCTTCTGACTGTATTTATGAGACACTGGGTAATTCATATGATGCACTGGGTAATATTTTGTATTTCTCCCTCTCTCCCTTCTTTCTACCCTGCCATTTTGCACAGAGAAGAGGGGTAGGGGTGATAAAAGAAAGGTCTTAGGCATTACCCTGGGTAGAAGCTGGCATCTCTGAAATAGAGCAACTCACTTGACAACTTCCCTTTTAAAGAGGAGGGGATCAATACCGCCAAAGAGGTAGAAGGAAGGGAAGGGATACAATCACAGATGTCACAAAAGAGCCTAATACTCGATGGTCTTCAGGCCATGGCAGGATGAGGCATGGTCTTGTAGGAGGTTACTTTTGGGATTGAAGAATCTTTATGCCAAGCTCTTGTCAGTTTGATGGGAAGGATTCCTGGGTTTGCCTTAATTCCATGCATTGGAGAAGCAGACACTCTAGATCAGAGCCAAACACAGAACTGCCCCACAGTAACTGTGGTGGGAGGATGATGAGCCAAAGAATGTCAGAATTAGGGAAACTGCTTCTCCTATTGAAAAAATCAAGCCTCCCCTTGGGCTGAATCCTTGGTGAATCATGATGGCAGAAGAAGGACGGGGGTCTTAGTCAAATAGTACTTAGCTAGTTCTGTACTGAGTATAAGAAAACTAGAATTTCAGAAGGAATTCAGGTCATGATGAGCTTTAAATGCCCAGCAGAGGAGTTTACATTTGAATCCAGAGCTAATACAGAGTCATTGGAGTTGGTTGAGTGGGACAATGGTGACACAGTGGGGCCTATACTTAAAGTATACTTTAGTAGCTGAATGGAGGGTACATTGGAGAAGGGGAGAAATTTGGGATAGGAGACCAATTACAAGTCCATTATAATAATTGAGTTAAAAGTGATGAGAACCTGAATGAGAGTGTTGGCTGTGTGCTTGGAGGGGAGGGGATATATACACTAGGGTTGCTGTAGGGATAGAAATCACAAGATCTGACAACTGATTGTATATGAGTGAGATTGAAGGGCTGAGGTTGCAAACCTGGGTAACTGAAAGAAGGGTGGTGCCCTTGACAGGAATATAGAAGTTTAGAAGAGGGCTAGATAGGGGAGAGCGATAATGAGTTCTGTTTTGGACATATTGAGTTTTAGATACCTATAGGAGGTGGTATCTTAGCTGAATTTTGAAGGAAAATATGGATTCTAAAAGGCAGAAATGAGGAAAAACATTGTAGGCATGAGGGATTAGTTTGGCCAAAGGCACAGAGATGGTGTAGGAATATAGGTTAGAATGTTATGTATGAGGAAAAGCAAGTGGGCTAGTTTATCCAAAATGTAGAGTGTATGAAGGGGAAATAATGTGAAAAAAGTCTTGAGAGGTAGGCTGGAGCTAGACTGTGGAATGCTTTATGTGCTAAGCAAAGGAATTCATGTTTTATCCTAGAGGCAATAAAGTCTCACTCTAGCTTATTAAGCTGGGAGCGATATGGTCCAACCTGTGCTTTAAGGAGACTGTTTTGTTAGCTGTGTGGAGGATGAATTTGGAAATGAGAAAGACAGGAAACGGGGAATCTGGTTAGAATGCTACTACCATAATTTAGGAGGGAAGTGATGAGGGCTTGAATTATACTTCTGTCACTTGTGAGTGGAGATAAGGTTACGGATGTGAGAGATGTTTTAGAGGGAGAATCAGGAAGACTTGTCCTTGAGATACAGAATAAACAGACCTACTCAAATGAAATTAGGTATATTCAGAGGAAGGCAAAGGGAGTTTATAAGCCTGATTAGGGTGATATTTAGTAGACTTGTAAACCTGAATGACAACATCACAACTTATTTGAATATCTGTTTGCAGCAAAAATTAAGACTGATTTTTAAAATAAAAACTCAGGAAGAAAAATGCATTTACTTACTGCAGTGATTATTGGAAAACTGACCACAGCACTTAGAGAATGATTAGCTATGAGCCAGCAGCAACTAGCTATTGCCCAAAGTACTCCAGAAAAAAACCCTGAAATGCAATAAGACAACAGAAATTATTGTACTCTGCCTCTGCCCCTATATCTATCACTTTATTTGCTGTCAGCGCCATTGGGTTGGTTTTTGAACCAGAATTTATAGTTCTTTGGGAATGCAAATGATCCTGCTTCCCTACCCTTTTACCAGCTGACTGAGGGTACAATTTTCAGCTATTCTATATGGGCATCAGATAGAGGTGTTGGATTTTAAGAGGAAGGAAAATTATTGGGCCATCCCATGAATATATCAAGAAAGAAGGGATCTAAGCAATTTGATAAGAAGCATGTTAAAACCAAAGAAGGCTGGGACCACACTATTTATTTATTTGATCTGGACCTGCAATTACAGTGATGTGGAGAGCTCCTGGTTTGGAACCCCATCATCCCACTGATGGAGATCACCAATTCATTGGAGACTTAGAGAAGTGGTGTCAAACTCAAAGCAGGGGGCACTAATCCATATGTACCTCGGGATCCCTGTAGGTTTCATATTGACTTAATTTTAAAATGTAATATAATCTATGTTGTATTATATTTTTATACATTTTGTTAAATATTTCCCAATTATATTTGAATCTGGTTCGCATTCAGGGATATTGTGGATTTGCCACTTTTGACTTGGAACATCAGAATCTTAGGGAATTGCCAGGGGGCATTGAGAGGTCTTACAGTCAATGTATGTCAGAGGCAAGATTTCCCCAGAACTTGAGTTGGTCTGCTATCCTCTGGTGCCATGCTGCTTCTCAACCATGTTATTCACATGATAAAAACCTAACACTTAAACTTCCTGGTATCCATGTTAACTGGGCAATAGCCCTACAGGTAAAGAGCTTTTACTAAAAGAAATGGAATAGTCCCTTGACATTTTTATTTTTATGTATTTCTGTTTCCTATTCTTCTTCTCAAGCCCTAAAATGAAGCAAGCATTCTGCAAAGAATATAGTGAGGATCTGGGTTCTAATTCTGGCTCTGTCATTTTTTGCCTGTGGGACTTTAAATAAGTCACAATTTCTCTGGGCCTCACACTTTCTTCCTCTGTAGCATGCAGGGATTGGGCTGGATGATCTCTAAAGTCCCTTCTGACTCTAAATCTGAGATAAATAATGCTGTTTCCCCAAGCATATGATTAAAGGAATCAACATCTTCATTATCCCATACTTCTCTTCTACTCCAATGCATTTCAACATGTTCTAGATTTTATATTTTTAAAGGAAATTATTAAACAAAAGTATGGAATTTTAGAACTTTCCTGCTATTCAACATATTCTTGATTTTTTTAATGGAAATTATTAAATAAATAAAATTATAGAATTTTAGAACTAAAAAGGACCTTAGAAAATAATATAGACATGTTTAACCTAGACCTTAGCAAAGTGTTTGATAAAGTTTCTCCTGCTGTTCTAATTGACAAGATGGAGAATTGAATAATGCAAGTTAGAAATTGTGATCAATAGTTGGAAATTGTGCTCAATAGTCAGACTTGACTTTTAGCTAAGGTCTGCTATGGATTATTAAATTTAAATTAAGCTAGCTTGTATTGGTAAGTTGTTAGAGTTTAACCTTCCCACTCCTCTGGGCCTAAGTTCTTTGTTTTGTAAGATGTTCTCTTTTCTGTTTAAATTAAAGCTCTCGTTTTTGTATGTAAGTTAATTTCTCATTTAGACTCATGAAAATTTACAAAATGCTCCATGGTGCTCTCACAGTCTCTCAGTGACTTGTTTCATTAATCATAGATACATGAGCCAATGAGAAATCGAGCTTTAATTTAAAGTCACATGGAATTCGGAATGCCTATAACCCTAATGTTACAAATTGACCTATTCTTTACCCATTATACTTCCTTATTCCTGTAAATCCTATGAATACGCATTAACATCATGAATATATTAATCTAATGAATATGCATTTTGATTGGTTCCTCTTCATTGACTATAAAAATGATCTCTGTAAACCCTTTGGCTACTGAGGAGGAGCCTTGGATCCCCCTCCCCTTTTTTTGGCAATTGCTAGCCTTGTTAATCAATTGATCATGCTGAGAAATCTGTGCCTCAGTTTTTCTTTATCATAGATTTTTATCTTGATAGAATAATGGGTTAGACATCTCTCTCCAATTCACAGTTAGATGGATTTGGAGCTAAGGGAGTTATTGTACCCCCAGAGTTATTACTGGGTGGATATTAATTTGGAAGAAGGCTTCTGGGGAAGTGTTCTCCTTGGGGCATGGCCCTCTGGTATTTAATATTTTAAATCACTGACTTGGATAAAAATACAGATGATTATGCTTATTAAACTTACAGATGAAATAAAGCTGAAAGGGATAGTTACAGAGTGGGCTTCAAAAAGATCTTTACAGACTAGAATATAGTGTATGAGAGAGGCATGACCAAGATGGTGAGAGAAGACTGAGGAACATTCCATAGAAAGATAGCTTGAAGCAATGAGGTGAGTATTTTGATTAGAGAAGATTTAGGAAATACTTAAGTGCAATCTTCTTGAAGACTCCTAACATGGAAGAGTGATTACACTTATGCTGCCTGGGTCCCAGAGGGCAGAATTAGTAGCAATGGATGGCTTGATATAGTGAAAAACTTCCTAATAATTAGGGGTATACAAAAGTCGAATGAGATGTCAGGGGAAGTAACATCAAAAAGGCTGGATGGTTGCTTTGGGGATATGTTGTAGTTATTCAGGTGTATGTTGGATATGGTCTCTGAGGTTCCTTCTAGCTTGGAATTCTGTGACTTCTATACATTAGCAAGGAAATTTGGTTTTTTAGTCAATTCTCTAAATACTCATGGGCGTGGTAAAGAAAATTGCTTGTTCCTATGAACCTCACTTTTAAAAACCAAAGGTAACAAGTAGTTCAATGTTAATAATCATAGGAGTCTGCCCCCAGTGCCATTAAGGACTAGAACTTCCTGAGAAAATTTATAAATAGGACATTCATTTCATGTCATTGAATGATAACTTTCAAGGTTTTTAAGCACATTATGTCAAATTTTAGATGGTCAAAACATGAAAAGAAGCATATTCAAAGCAAAGCAGACTCTCAAGGGGTGCTTTTGTTTGAAGCAAAAGACATATAAACTAAAATGATTAGATAAAGCTTATGCATATATATATGTATATGTATATACACACATTCATATATCTCATACTCACAAAAATTGAAACCCTGGTACTAAATACTCATACCTGGTAATATTGCTTGAGGATAAACTTTGGGATTATTTTTCATGATCATGCAGTAGGCCAGGAAATAGAGAGTGCTTGTAACAAAGATACCACTGAAGTGTGCAAAGACATAATCCAAATCTAAAAAATATAAATATTACAGCCATAAAAGGTTACATTTAAATAACTGTGATATGCTAATTGAATGTAAAATATGCTAAAAATTCTGATAATATAGATCCAGAGGTAGATGGAGAGAAAGACAGAGAAGGAGAAAGAGGAGTTAATTGTCTTATCCAGGACTTTAACATCTTTTTTTAACACAAGAATATAGATATGAGTTTTTTCTCATTGACTATGCAACTGTAGTACCACATTTGAACAAGTATAGGCAATCATGTAAAGTTTTTTTTAAATTTATACTTTTTATTTTGAAACAAAATCACTTCCTAACAAACAATCCACCATAGAACTGTACAAAAAAAAACATAAAAACAAAAACTGTTAAGCAAAACTGCTGCAAATAGTGGTAATTGATAGTTTATGGAACTTTCCATTTTTGTAGTTTACAAGTTTTAATAGAAAGGAAGGATGAGTGTTTGTTCATTACATTTGAGTTGTGTGGCTCTTTTGTGCCAGCTTCATTTACAATATTATAATGATTGTGTATGTACTGTTCTTTTGGTTCTACTTTCTTAGCTTTACATCTTGTATTTCTCTTAATTTCTTATGGTGCCAATGATATCCCATTGCATTCACATACTACAGTTTGTTCATCTGCTCTTTAATAACTAGATACAATTTATTTATAGGTTTTTGCTGTTAGACATACTGCTGCTATGAATATTTTGTTATCTTTTTTCCCTTTTAAGATCTGAGCTATTCAGCCTAAAATTATATTCCTTTCTGTAGCCTAAACAGCTTAGTAAATTGATATTTGGCCTATATATATATATATATATATATATATATATATATATATATATACACATACATACATATATATATATATATCTGTATTAAATAAGGTCCTTATATGTTTCCAAATAATTTAAGAATAATTAGATACTGGTACAACTGATTGAGGGACCTAGCTGTTATTGTATCAATTACTAAAACGATTCAGAAACTTCTTCAGTTTGGCTTGGGAAAGAGAATTTCAGTGCAATCATTTTTTTTTAAAGGAAGTAACTTATGGAATAAAAGTACAAACATGCTTTATTATAAACAACTTATTGATATGCACTATTTTGGAATTAATTACTTAAAGTGGAGTTAAGCTAATCTCTTATAAGCAAATTCATTTGTATAACTATCGAACCCAAGGGTGGAAAGCTTCTACTTGCAAAAGTGTTGTTACTTATATTTACACATATAGAGTTGGATCCTCAATAACATCTGATCCCCCTAAAGGAATTGGAATCAGAGTGGAAACTTTTGGGAAAGTAACAAAATCAGATAACCCTGTATACCAAAAGTGTATAGCTTTGTGGGGCTCTTGGTTTCTTTTCCCTTAAATTTGGGCTTTGCATATTGATCTTGCCTGTCAGATTTATGTCTTCCAGACTACATGCCATTCACCTATAGTTGGTAGCCCATCCTCACCCATCCTTCAGTGGATATAGTTCCAGTCAACCTCCTCCCCAGGACTCATCGAGGCAGGGACAGCTCTATGCTCCATTTCAGCCTAAAGAGACTAGAGAAGCTGAGACCTTCATCCCTTTTCCCAAATGAATTTGGGCCCCAGTTCTTTGAGGGGGGAAATGATGGAATTCTAATAAAGCTGCCCCCAGCCCCAATATTCTAACTTCCTTATGGGCCCCACTGAATAGCAGGTGTATCCTGATTTAACTACACACTCTGGCTTTAACCACATCACAGGCCCCCAGACTTAATATAGGCACTGCCCCCACCTAACCACTGCCCTCGCACCCCTGACTCAATATCCTAACTTCCTCAACTGCCTCACTGCCTCACCAGAACAACAGGTGTGTGTGAACTCATATTTCTAGAAGAAGAAGAAGGAGGAGGAGGAGGAGGAGGAGGAGGAGGAGGAGGAGGAGGAAAGAGGAGAGACAGAGAGATTGAGCATCAAGATAAAGTCTAAGTGTTGTTCTACTTACTCTTATGATTAGCTATTTTAGTTTACTATCATTGAGTGCAAAGCCCCAGTTAGTTCATTCAAAAGGTAAAATAAGAGAGTTCATGTAATCTTACCATATTGACTAGACCCTGCATATATGCTGTCATTCCTTTTGCCATGGTCCTTGATATAAATTATTGGAACAAAACTGCATCCATAGAGGATTCCAGATGTAACTGCCAGAACACAGCCTCTTGAAAAAAATAAATTCCTATTATGCAATGGCATTTTTGAAATTCACAGATGCGGAATAACAAGTTGAGTATGCTGTAGTATACAAGTCACAAGCAAATCAATAGAAATTATAACCTCTGTCTTAAGCTCTATGACTGGCAATAGAACAAAATCCTGCTGTGTCAAAGGTACATCAAGATATTTAAAGATACAACTGTGTAAAGATACAACTTTCTCCTATAGTGAAAACCAGTCAGGGAAATGAAAGATTTTCAGAAAATTAGACAATTTCTTTGAAACTTAAAAGGTGCTCCTTAAGTATTCAAATATAGTTTTGTTACCAGACTTCATAGTCAGACTCTTTGCTCTAAGGTAATTCTGAGAGGAGCTGCAGAAAATATCTCTCGACTTCGAATGATACATTATGATTAGCAGCTGTATCCACACAACTGGCCAAAGAGAGATTGTCCTGAAAGAATGTTGTCTTAAATGGAGACTCAGCCTGATGCCTTACATGGCTCTCTCCATTAGACCTTCAATAAACCTCATCTATTCTGTGCTTACTATGATTTTTCAGCCTCCCTTTCCCCCCATTCATTATTTTGGCCCAACTCTCTGGATTTATTGACATGATAAATTATTTATTTGGACCATGGAATGTTATTTAAATTTTCCTTCTGGACTATAGCTGAGGCCACAGCCTTACTATTTACTATTTTCCACCAAAAGGTCTCTCAAAAAAGACCAATAAATTGTCACTAATCAGTGTAGTTAATTGGTCTCATTTTCTAGGGACTGGGATACCTTGGATTACAAATCATAGTTTGTTGAGCTGGTGATTCATTGAGCTAAACCCCATAATTATTTTATAGATTAAAGATTGAACCCCTCAGAGTTGATTTGAAAGTGCCAAGATTAAAGGCTGATGGTGAAGTAGAGAAAGCACTGAACCTGGAGCCAGGAAGACCCAAGATCAAATTTGGCCTCAATACTTTTTATCTGTGTGATCCTGACAGTTCCAGGCAGACTTAATCTATCAGCCCTAGTTTCCTCAGCTACAAAAACAAGATAATAAGAGCACTTGCTATAGAAGATTGTCGTGAGAAAACAAAAAGAGTAATGTGTGAAAAGTGTTTTGCAAATCCTACATTTTTTTTTATTTCAAGACAACTTTATTAGGGGGACAGGAGTCACCTTTCCCTACTCTCCCCACAAACCTCTCTAAACACAGAATTAGAGCTATAAAAGTTTTGACGTAAAAAGCAGCTAGGTGGTGCAGGACCTTGAGTTTGGAAGATCTGAATTAAAATCCTCAGACACTTAATAGTTATGTGACCCTGGGCAAATCACATATTCTTTCAGCCTCATTTTATTCAGCCATAAAGTGAGAACAATCTACTTCCCAGGGTTGTTGTGAGGACCTCATGAGATAATTTTTGTGAAGTGCTTAACATAGTGCCTGGCACATAGTAGGTACTATGTGAATGTTAGCTATTATTATTGATTATTGTTATCCAGATCCAGATTATCCAGATATTTTTTATTTCAAATCCAGCACTCATTTAACTGCAGCAAGTGGGCCCGAAGACTTTAGATTCCATTCTGGCTTTGTCACCAACAAGCTGTGTGACCTTAGACAATTCATTTAACCTTTGGGGGGGACTGTTTCTTCATCTGCAGTATGAAGGGGGTTGGACCTGAGCAATGTTAAGGTCAACCCCATTGCTGAGATCCTGTGATTTTATGAAGTTTTGGAGAGTAGAAGATTGGTTAGTAGTTCAAGATCTCAGTGAACTTTTGATTGAACCCACTGATTCCAGAACATAAAAGAAAATCATTTCAATCCTTTTATTTTGTGGATGAAGAAGAGAGATTAGGTAACCTTGTTCAAAGTCAAATAGAGAATCAGGGGCAACAACATTTGAAGCCTGGATCTTGGCTATCAAATCCAGCACTCCTTTTACTCTGTTATTCCATCTTAGATGCTCCTAAGTTAACTCTGGGGCACCATGCTCAAAGTGTGACAGTTTAACGGTAAAGAAAGAAAATAGTTCCTTACAATATTCTGTTTTGTAATTGAGAAAGGTTTTTGGTCCATAAATAATCCAGGCCATTAGTCTGAGTGCAGTTGATTGCCTATCAAAACAAACGGACAGACAAACAAGCAAAGAAAGCATTTTTGATAAGTCATCTATTTGAAATTCATGTCTGATAAATCCTGGGTGTGGGAGGACACAAGGAGATGGGAGGGGATGGAGAGGCAGCATGGTACGGTGAAAATGAACCTAGGATATAGAGTCACAGGATGCAAGCTCACATCTGTTACTCACTGCTTATGTGATATTAGACAAGTCAGTTGACCTCTCTGTTCTCAGTTTCCTCATCTGAAAAATGAAGGGGTTAGGCTAGATTACCTCTGAGATCCCTTCTTCTAGCTCAGAAACTATGAAACCTTATGCATACTTCTTTACTTTTTTTAATCTCTCTCTCTCTGTCTCTCTCTGTCTCTGTCTCTGTCTCTGTCTCTCTCTCTCTCTCTCTCTCTCTCTCTCTCTCTCTCTCTCTCTCTCTCATTTATATGAAAATTCTAGTTCCATGCCCTATTTTAGTAGTGTGAATATAAGATCATATGTTAGAACTGAAAGGGACCCCAGGAGCAATTAAATCCAATCCCTCATTTAACATCAAAACAGCTAAAGCCTAGAGCAGTTAAATGACTTAGCTGCTATCACAGAGTATTTCTTGGTGTACCTCCTCTCCCAGCTCAGCTTCTGACCCTCTCCAGACTTCTCCAACATGCTCCTCCAACCTTCTAAGCTCCCATTCAAGTGTTATTTTCCCTCAGCAGAATGTAAGCTCCTTGAAGGCAGGGAATGACTTTTTATTTTTTATAATTGTATTTATATTACCAGCTAAATATAATATCTGGCACAAAGTAGGCATTTAATAAATGCTTATTGACTTGACTTGATTGCATGAATTATTCCTGATTTCATTATTTCATTTTCTTATTGGTCACATTGTATCTCTGGTGTGATGTTGCTCTGAGAATAATTCACAGTCTTGGTAAATTCTTTGTCTAAGTTTCTTTGGTATAACTCAGTTTTAATTGAGCTGTCAGCATCAATTAAACTTAGTTCTTTGTTCAATTTTGTTCAATTATAATAAGAAGTACTTTTAGAAAACTAGGATCAAGGGGAAATTATAATTACTCATGGAGAAGCATATGAATTCAGCATAGTTATTACATAAATTAATTAAATAAAACCAGATAAATCAGGGATAACTCTTAGCAGATTCATTTGTTAGAATTAAATTTATATTTCTACTGTTAACTCTAATTATCCATCTCTTTTACACAAAGTCTCTTTAGTTTTGCTGGTTTGCTAAATGGTAGGAAACTTTAATTCGAAAATCACTGTGTAAGACATCCTCCCTCCCTGGAAAAAAAGAGGTACAAAAACTCACTAAAGAAAATAATTCTTTAAAAATTAGAATTTGGTAAGTGGAAGCTAATGACTCCATGAGACATCAAGAAACAATAAAACAAAGTCAAAAATGAAAAAAAATAAAAGAAAATGTAAAATATCTCATTGGATGAACAACTGATCTGGAAAATAGATCCAGGATAATTTAAAAATTATTGGATTACCTGAAAACATTGATAAAAGAAGAGCTTAATTGTTTCAAGAAATTATCAAGGAAAACTTCTCTAATTTCCTAGACCCAGAGGGTAAAATAGAAATGGAAAGAATCCACTGATCACCTCTTGAAAGAGGTCCCAAAATGAAAATTCTCAAGAATATCATAGCCAAATTCTAGAGCTATCATGTCAAGAAAAAATATTGTGAATGAGAAAGAAACAATTAAGATATTGTGGAGTCTTAGGACCACACAAAATTTCACAGCTTCCATGTTAAAGGAGTTGAGGGCTTGGACTATGATATTCCAGAAGGCAATGGAGCTAGGATTACAACCAATAATAACCTTTTTAACAAAAATGAGTGTAATCCTTTAAAGGGAAAATGGATATTAAATGAAATAGAAGACTTTCAAGAATTTTTGATGAAAAGACCAGAGATGAATAGAAAATTTGACTTTTCAATACAAGACTTAAGAGAAACATAAAAAAGATAAACAAGAAAGAGAAATTATAAGAGACTCAATAAGGTTAAACTGTTTATATTTCTATAAGGGAAGATGATACTTGTAACTTCTAAGAACTTTATCATTATTAGGGCAGTTAGAAGAAGTACAATTAGGCAGAGGGCACAGGTGTAATTTGACTATAATGGCATGATCCACCCAAAAAATTAAGGGGTGAGAAGAGAGATATGCTTAAATATTCCTTTGGATTTCATCCAGGGATTTTTGGTGGTCATAAAATTGAAAGTAAGAAAATCACTGAACTAATTAACAAAACTAGGAGCTGATTTTACTAAAAAAAAAAACCAATAAAATAAAGCATTCATTTGATTTTTTAAAAACAATCAAATTAGCAGTATCAAAAATGAAAGGGGTGAATGAACCAGCAAAGAAGATGAAATTAAACAATAATTAGGGGATATTTTGCCCAATTATATGCCAGTAAATCTGACAATCTAGGTTAAATGGATGAATATTTATAAAAAAATATAAATTGTCCTGATTAACAGACAATGAATTAGAATACTTAAATAACCCTATCTTAGAAAAACAAATTAAAAAAGGCATCAATGAATTCCCCAAGAAAAAAGTCTTCAGGACCAAATAATTTCACAAATGAATTCTACCAAACATTTAAAGAACAATTAATTTTAATATTATATAAAATATTTGGAAAAAATAGGTAGAGATTAGCAGCAGAGCCAAGAAGGTGGAGTAAAAGCAGTGACTTGCTTGAGCTCTCCCCCAAATCCCTCCAAATACATGTGATAATGGCTCTAAACAAATTCTAAAGCAGCAGAACCCACAAAAAGACAAAGTGAAACAAATTTCCAGCCCAAGACAACTTGGATGGTTGATCTGAAAGGTATATTGCACTGGGTGGGGTGAGGAACCCAGTTTGGCGTGGGTGTGTAGGCAACACAGGCCTCAGTGAACTTGAAGCAGGCCTCAGAAGACTGAATCACGGGCAACTGTGGTGGTTTCCAGATTTCTCAACACATGAACACCAAAGACAACTTAGAAAGTCAGCAGGAAAAGTCTATGACTGAGGTGAGAGAGAAACTCAGTGCCAGCCCCAGTCCCCAAGCGCGGCCCTGGGGCAGCGGCTGCTTATGGAGCTTCTAGCTCACAGACTGAGGAGGAATTGAGTGGCTGATCAGAGGGGGATTGCAGGGATCTCTTTGCTGGTGCTGGATTCTCTTGCTTTGCCCACGCTTGGATCTGGGTCACAGTTCTGGGTGGTGTCCTGGGGCGAGGAGAAGGCTGGCATGGTGGAGTTTGTAGTGGCAGTGGATAGGGAATCCTCCTCACAGTTCCAAGGGAGAAAAGAGTGCTTGTGGTCACTCATAGACCAAAGCACAGGCCAGGAAAGGAGTAAACACCTCACCCTTGATCATACCACCTTGGAAGAACTGAAATTTACAAGTCCCTAGAAGTATCTCTGAAAACAGTTGCACAAAACCCCTGAAGCTTAGGACAGTACATCCTAGTGTGGTGGTACAGGCAAATATCAACACCAACACCTCCCATGTGCCTAAGCATAGCCAGTAGAACTGGTAGACTCAAGCTCTGAGAACTAACATGTACTTCAGTGTAGCCCAAGGCAAAGAGGAATCCTCCAGTGGCCAGACCTCTATGTGCTTCAGTGTAGCCCCAGGGAAACAAAGAAACACCCCACTGGAGCTTAGCACACATGAGATATCATCACTAGCACCCCAGCTCAGCACCAGGTAAGCTTCCAGACCCCTATTGCCTCCAGTAGCACCCACCATAACCCTTCAGCACATCACCAGACATGAGGGTCCCCCAGAGGCCTCAGGGCAACATCAAAATGACACCAGGAAAATGGCCAGAGACTGCAGCCATTGACACAAAAATCCTGAGACAGTGATGCTTTCACCCCCAATGCAGAGCTCAAATTTAAAAGAAAGGAAAAAGTCCAAAATAAAAAGATGAGCAAAGAACACAAAAAAATAATCTGACCATAGAAAGTTATTATGGTGACAAGGAAGACCAAGACACAAACTCAGAAGAGGACAGCAATGTCAAAATACCTATGGGCAAAACCCCAAAGAAAAATGGGAAGTGTTCTCAAGCCCAAGCTCAAGAAAAAATTCATGGAAAAGCTTAAAAAGGAGCTTAAAAATCACATAAGAGAGGTAGAAGAAAAATGGGAAAAGAAATGAGAGTGATGCAAGAAAATTATGAAGAGTCAATACCTTGGAAAACTGCTTAAAAAGTAGAATTGGCCAAATGAAAAAGGAGATACAAAAATCCACTGAAGAAAACAATTCCTTAAAGATTACAATTAGCCAAATGGAAAAGAAAGTACAAAAGCTAATTGAGGAAAACATTGAGAAATTGAAAAATTGAGAAAAACACTTAAAAGTTCGAACTGGTCAAGTACAAGCTAATGACTCTCTGAGACATCAAGAATCAAACAAATTCAGAAGAATGAAAAAGTGGAAGAAAATGTAAAATTCATCATGGGAAAAACAACTGACCTGAAAAATAGATCTAGAAGAAACAATATCAAAATTGTTGGACTACCTAAAAACCATAATCAAGAGGAGGACATAGATAGCATCTTTCAAGAAATTGACAGGGAAAACTGCCCTGACGTCCTGGAACCAGAGGGCAAAATAGGCATTGAAAGAATCCACCAATCACCTCAGGAAAGAGATCACAAAATAAAAACTCCAAGGAACATTATAAAAAAAAATTCAGAACTACCAGGTCAAGGAAAAAAAAACAGGTGGCCAGAAAGAAACAATTAAAATATCGGGGAGTCATAATCAGGATTACACAGGACTTGGCTGCTGCAACATTAAAGGATCAGAGGTGAAGGAACATGATATTCTGGAAGGCAAAGGAAATAGGACTACAACCAAGATCATTTACCTGACAAAATTAAGCATACTACACACCAAGGGAAAAAATGGTCATTCAATGAAATATAAGAATTTCAAACTTTCATAAGCAGAAGATTTAGAAATAAACCAAAGATTTGACCTCCAGTATCAAGACCCAAGAGAAGCATAAACAGATAAAAAGGGAAAAGAAAGCATAAGGGATTCAATAGAACTGAACTGTTTACATCCCTACATGGGAAGATGAAACTTGTAATTCTTAAAAATTGTATCACTAATAGTACAGCTAGAAGGAATATACATAGAGGGTATAGGTATAAGATGAATTTGAGGGAATGACATATGAAATTAAGGGATGAGAAATAGGAATACACTGGCTGCAGAAGGAAAGGAGAGGTAGAATGAGGTAAATTATTTCACATGAAGAGGCATGAAAGACATTACAATGGAGAGAAAGATGGGAGGGTGGGTAATGAGCATCACTTGACCCTTACTCTCATCAGTAATGGCTCAGAGAGGTAATCATATACACAACTGGTTGAATATAGAAATCTATGTTACCTGACAAGGATGAAGGAGGGAAGGAGGTCAAGTAAAGGGAGTATAATGTGGAATGACAGAAGGGAGAGCAGATCAGGTGAGGTGGTAGACAAGCAAAACACTGGTGAGGAGGGAAAGGGTGAGAGGAGAGAAAGGACAGAGAGGAGGAAGAGTAGGATGGAGGAAAATACACAGGTAGTAATCATATCTGTAAGATGAATGGGACAAACTCTCCATAAAATGGAAGCAGATTGCAGAGTAGATCAAAAACCAGAATCCTACAATATGTTGTTTACAAGAAACATAGTTGAAGCAGAGAGACACACAGTGTAAAGGTAAGGGGCTGGAGCAGAATCTATTAAGTTTCAGCTGAAGTAAAAACAAACAAACAAACAAGCAAACGGGGTAGCAATCTTGATTGTAGACAAAATAAAAACAAATATAGATCTAATTAAAAGAGATAAGGAAGGAAACTACATCTTGCTAAAAGATACCATAGACAATAAAGCAATGAAAATAACTAAACATATATGTACCAAGTGGTATAGCATTCAAATTCTTAAAGAGGTTAAGTGAGTTACAGGAAGAAATTGTCAACAAACCTGTAGTAGTGGGGTACTTCAACTGTCCCCTCTCAGAAACTAAGGAGGTAGATAGAATATTTAAAAAATTAGATATGACAGACCTTTGGCATGGTTTAGACATAAAGGGTGACACCATAAGTAAATTAGAAGAGTAAGAAATAGTCTACCTGTCAGATCTATGGGGAGGGGAAGAATTCATGACCAAACAAGAGATAGCATTACAAAATGTACAATAGATTATTTTGCTTATATTAAATGAAAAAGTTTTTGTACAAACAAAACCAATGCAACCAAGATTAGAAGGAAAGCAGAAAGCTGGGAAACAATCTTTATAGTAAGTATCTCTGATAAAAGCCTCATTTCTCAAATATATAGAGAACTTAATCAAATCTACAAGAATACAAGCCATTCCCAATTGATAAATGGTCAAAGGATATAAACAGGCAGTTTTCAGTTGAAGAAATTAAAGCTATTTATAGGCATATGAAGACATGCCCAAAATCACTTTTGATTAGAGAAATGCAAATTGAAACAGTTCTGAGGTACCACATCACACCTATCAGGCTAATATGACAAAAAATGGAAATGATAAATGTTGGAGAAGATATGGAAAATTGGGACACTGATACACTCACTGTTTGTGGAGTTGTGAACTGATCCAACCATTTTAGAGAGCAATTTGCATCTATGCCCAAAGGGCAACCAAACTGTGTATACCTTTGATCCAGAATTACCACTAGTAGGTCTGTATCCCAAAAAGATCATTAAAAAGGAAAAATGACCTATATGTGCAAAAATATTTATAGCATCCCTTTTTGTGGTGGCAAAATATTAGAAGTTGAGGAGATGCCCATCAATTGGGGAATGGGTGAACAAGCTGTGGTATATGAATATAATGGAATACTATCATGCAATAAGGAATGATTAACAGGCAGATTTCAGAAAACCCTGGAAAGACTTGTATGAACTGATGTAAGGTGAAATGAGCAGAACCAGGAAAACATTGTACATAGTATCAGCAACATCATGTGATGATCAACTATGAATGACTCAGTTCTTCTTAACAACAAACACAATGATCCAAGACAAGTACAAAGGACTCATGAAGGAAAATGCTATCCATATCTAGATAAAGAACTGATTGAATCAGAATGCAGATTGAAGCATTTTTTTTTACTTACTTTATTCTTTCTCATGGGCTTTTTCCTTTGATCTTATTCTTCTTTGAAAATATGATTAATATGGAAATATTTTTACATGATAGCACATGTATAAATCATATCAAACTACCTACCATTTTCAGAAGAGGGAAGGGGAGGGAGGGAGAGAGAAAAATTTGGAACTCAAAAACTTGTAAAGATGAATGCTAAAAATTTGACATGTAACTGGGGAAAAATAAAATAGTATTAAATTTAAAAAAGAGCCTACTCTTAGTTGATATCTTTAAGGGATAACACTTTTCAGAAAAGCATAAATCTAAGAAGATGTTATTAATGTTCATGGTAGAACAGCTTTCAATACCTCAAATTAATCAATTTTGCTTATAACTATGATTTTCTGTACTGGCCTTTAGCCATTACAAATATATACTAAAATATTTTCTTTAGCTCTGAAATTTATACCACAACCCCCCCACACAATATATCTGTAAAATTTCAATCTCTACTTCTTCCTTTGGGCTAACTTTGACTTTATAAATGAAGTATTCTCTGGCAGTAACATATGCCAAACTCACGCGTTCAGTTAGTAATGGTGTGGTGTCCAAGGAACTTGTTGAACTTGGTATTTCACTTTTTATAAACAAAAATATGACAGCACTGTAAGGAAAGCAAACATTTAAAAAGTATTTATTATACTCCTAATTCATAATCACAGTCATCAAATTCAGGGGGAAAACATAATTAAATCGGGGCAGCGAAGTCACGTAGTAGATAGAGTACCAGCCCTGAAGTCAGGAGGACCTAAGTTCAAAATCCGGCCTCACACCAAACACTTGACACTTAACTAGCTGTGTGACCCTGGGCAAGTCACTTAACCCCAATTGCCTAAAAAAAACCAAACCAAAACAAAACAAAACAAAACAAAACATAATTTAATCCCTGGTATTTCAAATAGTACTTTTATGCTGATAAATATCAAATATACTTCTGCTACCATCTTTTCTTTTGAGTTCTAGAGTTTACTGTGGTGTCTTCTAGTCACCACAAACTCATTATGAGCTAAACTAGACCCATCATCTTTTCCCTAAAATGAGCTATCCTTCCCAACTGTACTGTTAGCAGTTCTATTGTTCTCACTGTCACATAGGCTCCAACCTTTGACTAATCTGCAGTATCTAGTGAGTAAATTCAGTCAATTCTATTGACATGTCTTTCATAGCTGTTCCTTTCTCTCTAGTCTCCCTTGTACATAGTAGATTCGTTTTTCATTACCTAATGGTGGATCATTTTAACAGCCATGGAAGGATATTAACCCCTTGCCCCCTACTAAATTTTTAGTACAATTGGAAATAATAAGAAACAATATTTCGCCAGCCTAAAATCCTTTCCAGGCTTCTTGCCTTAGGAAGTGTATAAAAAGTTGATAATGAAAGCTAAGGTCTCAGGAAGATGGATTCATGGCCATAACCAAATTAGAACAAAAAAGTATGTTATCTAGTTGAGATCATTGTCTTTCCCATTCCCTGAAGTGATTGGCTTCAAAGCAGTATACTCTTTCCCATTCAGAAAAGACTAGATATGGATCACTGGGATGTCCCCTTTGATTACTTTAGGAGAAATAGTTATTTTGTCAATTATTCTAGAATACTGACTCCTAAAACTGTTTTGGAACATGTTTTAACTGTATCTTTGTTTAAGATTCTTATAAATTGTGTCCCAAACTGTTTTGATGTGAAGAGATGTATGGCACACACTGGGTCAAGGGGAAACTTTATTATTTTCTCTCTCTAAACTAGTCAGTCAATAAATGTTCATTAATTGTCTGCCTCCTATAATCCAGGCACTATGCTAAGCCCTGGGGACACACACACACACAAAACAAACAACAAAAAACAAAAACAAATGAACAAACAGACAAAAAAACCAGAGCCTGTGCTCACAAGAAGCTCAAACTCTTATAGGGGAGAAAATATGCAAATAACTATGTACAAACAAGATGAACATAGGAATATAAAGAGATAATTAATGGAGGGAAAGGTCTAGTGTTGAGGGGAATCTGGAAAGGCTTCTTGTAAAAGGTGAGATTTTAGCTGTAACTTAGAAGAAGCCAGGAAAGCCAGGAAGCAGAGATCCAAGCAGAGAGAATTCTTGGCATGGGGGACAACACACAGTGACAATATACAGTAAGGAGATGAATTATCTTAATTTTTTTTCAGGGAGCAGCTAGATGGTACAGTAGATAGGAAGCACCCAAAAGATGAATGCACTATGAGGAGTGAGTTGCCTATCACTGTCAGTCTTCACTTAGAGACTGGAAGGCCATTTGTCAGGAATGCAGTGGACGAGGTTGGGTCTGAAGTCCAAATAAAATGGCCCTTCTTACTCTAAGATAGTGGTAACTGACATTTGCCTAGAGCTTTAGGGTTTGCAAAGTGTGTTATTTCATCTAATTCTTATAACCTCTGTGATGTAGGTACCACAAGCATTAGTATCACCATTTTACAGATTAGTCAATAAATATTTATTGTCTCCAATGTGCCAGGCACTGTGCTAAGTCCTAGCATACAAAGAGAGGCAAAAGATAGTACATGCTCTCAAAGAGCTTGCTCTTTCATGGTAAAGACAACATGAAAACAACTATATATGAACAAGATACATGTATAGAGGATAACTTGGAAATGATCAGCACAGAGAAGGGAGAGGTATTAAGGGGAATCAGGAAGGGCTTTTCATAGAAAATGAATTTTATTTGAGGCTTGCAGGAAGCCAGGGAAGCCAAGAGGTAGAGATGAGGAAGGAGAGAATTCTGGGGGACGGACAGTAAAAATGTCTAGAGTTGAGAGATAACATGTCTTATGTGAGGAAGTCAGTGCCATTGGATCACAGAGGTATGGGAGGAATAAAGTGTAAAAGTAACAGGAAGGTAAGAGAGAAAAGATCTGATAAATAGAAGTATGTATAGAACAAAGTTTTTTCTTACATTGAACTGCATTGTCTCCCAATAACTTTCATTCGTTATTCTCTAGTAGCTATTTCAAGTACACAGTAAAAGTTATTTTTGTGTACTTTTATGTTACAGTTTTCTGTATATCGAATGTAAAGTACTTAGAAAACAACCCTGCATTTTTTTCTAAGAAATATTCCAGAACTTTTTTTTAGGCATAAGATTTCTAGTCATCATCTCTTTGTCTTCTCTCCAAATCGTGTTTTAAAAATACTATGTTGTGGAAATACTTGTTTTATTCCATAAATTAAAAATAAAATAAATAAAAATTAAAAAAATTTTCTTCAGGGGTAATGGTGGGGTAGACCCAAGATGGCAGAGTAGAGAAAATGCTCCCAACATTTCACTCCAAATAACTGTAAAATAATGCCTCAAATAAAATTCTGAAGTCAAAGAGAACAAAATGTCAGAGTGAGATGTTCTTCTGGCCCTAAACAACTTAGGAGATTGTAAGGAGAGATCTGTGAAATTGGGGTGGAGACTGGCCCAGAGCTCATGTGGATGAAATGCCAATAGTGGGATAGAAAAGGAAAATAACAAATATTGGAGGGGATGTGGAAAAACAGGGATACTAATCCACTATTGGTGGAGGTATGAACCACTCCACCCACTCTGGAGAACAATTTGGAACTATACACAAAGGCCTATGAAATCATGCATTCCCTTTGACCCAGCAATAACACTATTAAGTCTGTATGTCAAAGAGATAAAAGAAAAGGGGAAAAAGACCTATTTGTACAAAATTTTTTATAGCAACTCTTTTTGTTGTGGCAAAGAATTAGAAATTGAGGGGATGCTTACCAACTGGGGAACGTCTGAAGTTGTTGTATATGATTGTGATGGATTATAATTATACTACGAGAAATGATGAACAGGATGGTTTAAAAAAAACAACAACAAAACCTAGGAACACTCATATGAACTAATGCAAAGTGAAGTGAGTAGAAACAGGAGAACATTGCATGCAGTAACAATACTGTAAGGATGATCAACTGTGAAAGACCTAGCTACTCTGATGAAGATGATCCAATACAATCAAAGAATCCATGATGAAAAATGCTGTCCATCTTCAGAGAGAGAGAACTGATGAACTCTAAGTGCAGACTGAAGAATACTTTTTTGCATTTTATTTTTCTTGGTTTGTTTTTGTGTTTTCTTCTGTAACATCACCAATATTGAGACTTCACAGGTATAAGTAATATCATATTGCTTGCATTCTCAATGTGTGGGGGAGGGGGAAAAAGAAGAGAAATTGGAACTCAAAATTTTCATAAATAAATGTTATTTTTTACATTCTAAAAAGGAGAAATTCCTTTACATACATTTGTCTGTTCTTTCTAAATAAGGTTACCAAAATGGAAGAAAACATTCTGGTTATCAAGGGTTTTGCTGAGAGCTCATTACAGAGTAAGGCCTATATTTGATAGTAATGACTCCTAGTATTCTGATAACACCCAACCATATATAATACCCTTTGAAGTCATGGAACCCTAGGACCTTACCATTGGAAGGGGTCTCAGAGGTCATATAGTTTCCTAAGGCAAAATCAATGGACTTGGCTTAGAGTGAACCCTCTAGGATGGGAATGAGCTTCTGGCAGGTAATACCAGAATATTTCGTATTGCATGCAGAACTTCATTAAGGACAGGTGAGGAGTTTTGCATTTAATTGCTGACACCATGCTCTACAAAGTTAATACTACTTAGTCTGCAAATTTACTTGTTCTTCTGAAATAGTAAGCTCCAGTTCAAGGGTGGCTGGGATCATAAAGGGTTATGACCTAATCAAAAATCAGTCAGTCTGATATAGGCTTGCAAAATACATTTTGCAAAGGTGCTAGTTTGAGCCAATGATGATTTTTTTCCTCCTCCCAACTGACAAGCAGCAAATTTTAATTCAAGGAATCAGCAAACTTTGGGGGTAATAATCTGTTAAATTGGCATACAGCTCTTGTCCACCATCTGTGAATTCAGCTGTTTCTAATATATGGAGTATTAGCAGAGGTGGGGAGTATCAACAACTGAAGCTGACATGACATTAACTGAGCCTAGTTCTCAAAGTCAGGACTTTAAAAAGAATGGTGATGTGGTCATGTCACTGAATAAAAAGCAAATTGAGAAGTGCAATTTATGCATGAAAGCCAAAGGATTCTAAGCTTCAGGGATAGGAACTAGAGAGAGCTCAGTCGGCACCATTCAGGTGAACAGGGCTAGGCTGGTTCAAATTTCACAGATTAATTGCTGCTTGCTCCATTTCTTTCCTGGTAATAAAGATCATGATAATGGCAATAAGGATAATAAGGATCATGAGTCATACTGAATAGTGGGCCAAGAAGACTCCGCCTAAAGTTGACCAAAGTGAGACTTGTTGACTACGAAAGCAGTACAGCCAGGCAGTCACCTCTTTCTCAAGTCTCACTGCACCCTACCTATCAGACTCCTAGTATTTGTCTTTCCCCTGGGACTCTGACTATAATCAGACAGACCCCTAGGAGTTCTTTAGAGAAGTGGTCTCTAAACTTTTTTGATTATACATCCCTAACACTAAAACAACATAGTGCCTGACAAACAGTAGATACTTAATAAATGTTTGTTAATGACATTTTTGAGCACGTACTTTCCACTATCTATATATTTACTTATATATACACATT